CCACATTTCTACCACTGAAAATCCACTGGACTTCAGTGGTTAAAAAGCCAATAAAGATTGCCTCAAAGGCCTTAAAAGATGGGACCAAGCTCAAGCTAATAAGGCACATAAGAGGGTAGAACACCCTCAATACCAAAGAGGCCTCAAACAACCATTTTAAGCACTTAAAAACAAAAGTTTTTGTAGTTGAAATCTAAGCAAAGAAGCATGCAAAAATGGCTAAACACTTAAGCAAAACAAAGCTTAAAGAGGGTAACTACTCACCCTTGAAGAACAACTTCAAAACCAGCAACTTCTGAGGCAAAAACCAACTTTTAGGCTCCAAACAAGATCCTCAAGCACCTCAGCAACAAATTGATGGTGCTTTACTAGGTATTGTAGTGCAAAAGTGAAGAGAAAATACACTTTAAGGCACAAACTAGTACAAATATATATATATATAGAGAGAGAGAGAGAGAGAGAAATATAGAGAGAGAGGGATATGTTTAGCCCTAATCCAAAATTCTCAACCTCTGAAAAGGGAGAAAGAGCTTCCTTCTTATAGAAATCCAAGTCTTAAACTTGTTGGACAAGCTAGAAACTTGGTGCAATCCCTCCATACACGTATATGGAGGATACATTCTGTGCTCACCAGCTGGCAACAAAATATCTGCAAAAGTAAAGAAAATGGTCTCGGCCAAAAAACATGGCCGACCGGCCATCAGTGAGGCCGACCGACCACCACTGATGGCTAATAGAAAGAGGGCGTGGCCAATGGGCACAGGGCCTGGCCAATGGGTTGCAAGGCTGGCCAGCAGGCCACCCCTTTCCCTCAGAAACAAAGCCACAAGCTCTTGGTCCACAACCAAGCACAAAACAGACAAATTGAGAGGCTCCAAGGCAAAGCACACAGCCGAGACCTTCAGGAACTCAAAACGAACACGAGGATGGATGATCATCGAGTATTCAAACGATGACGTCCAAGTCTTGAGAACGGTAAAAAATGGGATGTCTACAGGCCCTCACCCAGGGGACATAATACTGTGGCTTATGGTCATGAGGCCCTCGCCCAGGGGAATAATACAGCGGCATAGGCCCTCACCTGGGGGAATAATATCGTGGCACAAGCCCTCGCCCAGGGAAAACAATACCGTGGCCTACATATATGATGAGACACCCGGTACCGAAGGTTCCATTATGGAACTTGATATGCTTGACCAAACATGATATGTTAATGCTAATGGATATACCATACATGATTCGAATACGATTATAAACATGGCTCTGCTTGGTTATGACAATGCTTATCTCTATAATTGATATGATACGAAGCTGGACATCATTCATTAAAATCTTTACTCTGTTATTATTCATTGGGCTTTCGTTCACTATTTATTATATGTATGTAGGTGACCAGGCACGTGACCAGACTCAGAGTTGATGACCTGGAGTCTCAGTCGTGTCAGCTAACTGTTGTGCCTCCCATGGAGGTTCCCTTTTGTGATGCACATGTTAAGACCTTGCTTTCTTTTGGAATATGAACAAGTTTTTTGTTTATTTATATATTGGGCTAAGCTCCCTTTTGTTATATCTATTATATGACGTGAATTTCTGTGTTGTGACGTCACACCTATGTATATAACGTTTTTTATAATTTTTGTCCCATGTACGTCTACACAACTCAATGGACTATGTATAATTTATATTTGCTTCCGCAACCCCTAAAAATATGGTAATCTGTTCAGAAGCCTTTGGTAATCCAAGGATTACTAGCCAGTTACGATGCTAAACCTATAGGGATGGATTTAGGTCATGACAAAAGCGATCCAAACAAACCCCACATCGTAAAATCAACGAATGTACTTGCATTGCTTCAAAGTAGGAATGGCAACGAGTCGAGGCGGGGCCGGGAATCACACTCCCCGTCCCTGATCCCTAATGGTGAAAATTTTCCCAACCCCAATCCCTGATAAGGAACCTATCACCATTACCGTCCCCGTCCCCGCCTCCTCCCCCTAACGGGGATCGGGTTTCCCCAACCTTGAAAATTCCAAAAAAAAAAAAAAATCAACAGATCAACACAAAAAATAGAGACTAACAACATCTCTGTGAGGTCAGTACTCAGTACCACAAGATTCTATACATCAAATATATCAACAAATCAACAAAATCATCAATGAAGGTTGGCTATACATCAACTACCAAAAAAAAAATGAAGACAAAAAGATAGATGGAGATCAACACAACAACTTGTAAGATATGCAAGAAATCAACACAAAAACTCGACATTGACAGCAGCAAAGGGAAATGCGTCAAAGTCGTCGTGATGTTGTTGAAGAGGAAGATCGGCGAGATCGAAAACCCTAACAGCTCTCTCTTGCCGAAGACAGCAAAGGAGGAGGGAGATCGATGGCTACGCTACCTCCAATCCGCAGTCGTACCACGGCGATGATGGCAGATTCACTGCTCACGAGGAGGTCACTGTAAATCTGAACTATACTCAACAGATTTGGGTAAAGGATAGGCGAAGTGGGCTACAAGAAGGACATGAAGAGGCGACGAATGACAGCGGTGAAGGCAATGAGGAGAGGAGGCGACGAAGGCTCAGACCATCGTTTCTTTCTCATCTCTCACAATCACAGAAAGTAGAGGGAATGAGAATAACGAAAGAGAGAGAGAGAGAGAGAGAGAGAGAGAGAGAGAGAGTTGAGATAAATAATAAACAAAACTCTAATTTCTAAACATATATATATACGGGTACAATTGGGGGCCAGATCGGGACAAGGGCGGGGACGGGAGCAGGGGCACCTATTACTGTCCCCGGCCCGAAAATCATTGGGGATCTATTTTTCACTACCAACCCCGGCCCTATGGAGAGTAATTTTCGGGAAAAACCTGGCATATTAAGACCGGGCGGTCCGAGTCCTCGTCGAGCTGCTCTAATTTCTAAACATATATATATATACGGGTACAATTGGGGGCCAGATCGGGACAGGGGCGGGGACGGGAGCAGGGGCACCTATTACTGTCCCCGGCCCGAAAATCATTGGGGATCTATTTTTCACTACCAACCCCGGCCCTATGGAGAGTAATTTTCGGGAAAAACCTGGCATATTAAGACCGGGCGGTCCGAGTCCTCGTCGAGCTGAGTTCAAATTACCATCCCTACGTCAAAGAGTTAAGAGTGAGAAGAAAATTCATTCAAAACAATAGCATAAGTATAGTCATCAGCAATAACTCCTTCAATACCCATATGCCGAAACAACCTTTGCATGAACTTGTTTCTTGAATTCAAAATCACAAGAAGGCAATACAATCGAATAAATATAATTATTTGGCTTAATTGAACAACGACGCATTTTTTATGAAATGGGTCAAAGCTTGTTGCAATCTTTGGTGCTGAGCAAAACTAGAGATGACTATATTCCATGATTGACAATCCTTTTCAGGTATAGAATTGAAAAATGTGAATGCTTGGGAAATTAACATGCTAGATTTGAATAACCCAGATAGAATTGTGTTGTAAGAGACAAGGTTAAATTGAGTGTATATATTTACACATATAGTCTTCTCACTCTAAGATAACAGTATACAAACACATTGTTGTGAATAGTGAGCTCTCGAAGCCGATCTTCATATTTGTTCTCTGATTATGGTTAGTGATCGGAATCTTCATCGGAGCGATCATCATCCTCATCATCTTCCTCTTCTCTCTTGCGCCAATGGAAACCCTATAGAGAGAGGAAGAGAGAGAGGAGAGAGTATAGAGAGAATGAGAGAGTAGGTGTGATATTAGGGTATAGGGATGAAGGACCTTATATTACAAAAGAAAACATTGTGGATCTATTCCATTACTAAAAATTGGAGGGAAATGGTAGACTAATTTTCCCAATTAAATTTCTATTCTATTATATTATCTTTTCTATCAATAAATATAAGATTCAAATATAATCTAAAATTACAAACAGTGTCATGGTCTTTTCTGTAAATTACATTTGACTATTAAATTTATAGTGGGAACTGAAAAGGTAAGAAAAAAAGTGAATCAAATATAATTTTTTTTATTCACAAAATCTTTCCATTTAATCTTTTCTTGATCAAATCCTTCGTAAATTCAACTTTAAAGATAACGTTACAATTTATTATTCATTTTTTGTACACATTTATTGGGAGTGGAATAAAAGTAAGATAAATTATATCATATGTGTGATTCGAACTCAGACATATGTGTGATAAGTAAGCACCATATCTAATAGGTCAACCATTAGCATTACAATTCTTATGATATATTTGTTGAAGCTGGCTTTCCTCTCGTTCGTGATCGGATTGGAAGATATTATTAGATCTGTAGAGATTTATCATGGGTCCAGTTTCGATAATTTGAACCGTTCAATGTGTACAACTCGTTGAGTACTATACATCTGTAAAAAAATCACGTTGATCAAATATCGATAGCTACGTGATCAAATCAATTTTGTATATAAAAAAAAAATAAACGATGAACAAATAAACGATTGACAAAAATATGTTCGATGAGATAGCTATCGATATCCAATTAACGTGATTTTTTACAGACATATAGTACTCGACGAATTTTACACATTGAACGATTTAAATTATCAAAACATGACTCATAGTGAATCTCCCACGAACTCAACAATACCTTCCAATCTAATCACAGACTAAAGGAGCTCAGCTCATATTTGTTAATCATGATACAAGACATAAAATAATAATAATAATAATAATAATAATAAAATAAACGAAGAAGAAGAAGTTAGGTCAGCCATTGGGCTCAATTTGTCAAGTCCGCTCCGGCTAATAACAGTCCATTTACTCTATTTTAATTGAAAATGTGACGATTATGCCAAATTAAATTTATCTTCGTGTTGATAGCCTTATTATGATACACTTCTAGTTTGATATATTTTTCTTCTTCTATTTTGTTAGGGAACAAGAAAACTCCAGTCCTGACTTGTAGGTTGAGCGACAAATGAAATGATATGAAAATCTCAATTCCGTATACCAAATAGAAATGATAAAAATCCATTAAGTAACGTATCTGCACCATTTGCGGAATAGGGTTTCGGGTTTTGGAGCATGGCAGAAAGAGAAATCCTCATAACTCTATTTAACAGAACCACAATCAACAACCAGTGCCAAAACCTAGCATTCCCTTTTCCCACTTGTGGTTACATCAAAACTGATCATTTTGTGAGTACCATCTCTGAAACAGAATGATCAGTAAGAGATAATCATGACCTCCATATATCTCTTTCGGAAACAACAAAATTACAATGAATACTTCAACCAACACAACTCAAAACCCCCCAGGCTGCTCATCTTTGCAACCACATGCCCGGGTATTCCTCAAAAAATTGTCAACTGACGATACAATTTCACAGGCTTACTCAAACCCCAAATTTCCCCTTTGCAATTTGGTTTGTCACTAAGACAAATATTGCCTCCTACTTCTGGAAGGGGTGGACTTCATTTCTTCCGCATTGGAAGAAGAAGCAGGGCTATCTGATGTGTCTGAGCTGCTATTCTCGCTGTGTCTGTCTTTGCTCGACCAGAACTTCGAAAAGTTCTTCTTTGACACGGGCAATCCTTTCACTTTGTCGACAACAACTTTTTCACAATTCAATTTAGTACCATCAAGGCCACATCCTCCATCCCTTAACTTTAGAGTAGTAATTTCACATTTCAAAGCTTTAAGCTCCTCTGCTGTTGCCACAGCATCCCAGTCATCTTCTGTGTTGGTTGTTGCAGATCTTGAACTCCCATAGGACCCACCTGGTAGTAAAGCTCTGACGGAACACGGCAAGTCCGGTGTACTGCAACCGCCAGATGATGTCGTGGTTCTGACCTGCTCGAAGTAGAGAACCTGCACGACAACTCTCAAGGGCAGCCGCTCATTTTGCACAGCATGCATGCAGGCACCCACTGATAGCTTCTTGCAGTCCATCAGCTTGCAAATTCTTTTTTTCTCACTTTTACTTATCCCCCGGTGTTCCTACACAACAACATGGTCAGTTAATAAGCATTTAATGAGAAGCCATTGCCCTCTCTCAGTGAATATTTAACCATGAATTCATAGTTGAAAATTTCCAAGACATGAATTTGGGGAAAATAGAAGTTATGGTTCTGGATGAAAAGAAGCCAAAGCTTATTGTTGCCTGCAATGCAAATGTCATACATGCGAGCGAACTGGTGATTTTCCATTAATTTGTTATGGTGGGATAACATGTCATCTGATGTTCAATTCTAATCTACAAAAGGCTCCTTCATACTACCCACAATGTAACAAAACTATAACCCAATACATGTTCTATACAATAATACCAAATCCATTGTGGTGAAGCAAATTCATACAAAAATGACAAAAAAAAAAAAAAAATCACAGACAAATTATATCATATGGGTGATGGAAGTGGTTGTCGTGGTGGGTCACCTGGTCGGTTGCCATGGTTGTTGCCTTGATAAGGGTTCTTAAAGGTGGCAGTTTCTTGTGACAAGTGGAGGTGGGTGATTGCCATGGAGAAGTGGGGGAGAAGAGAGAGAAAGCCGGGGTATGCACATGAAAATAAAATCAAGGGATGGTAGAATTGTAAAACTTTTTTTGCGCTTAAGTTTGCGTCCCAACAATTTTGATAAGGGACATTAAGGTAAGTTCAATAATATAAAGTGAGTATTTGTAATTTTCATAAATTTCAGGATGTATGGGAAGTAGGAATTTACCTTAAGATACATGTCAATGGCACGGTAAAGTCCATCATGAGATGGTCTTGAGAAGGCTGATACCATTTGTGCAAGATCTACAAATTTTGACAAAGGTAAATTGGGATCCCTACTAATTTCAGCAAGGTAGCCATCAATGAGCTTAGCAACTTTCATTTTGGAAGCATCTGAAACAAACGCAGGGCTTCGAATCTCTAGGAATTCATTTCCGTCATGAAAATCAGTCTCATTGCTCTTTTCCTGCTTTATGAACTCCTCTACTAGGTTTTGTACTATATCAATGTCGTATACAGTTGATTCCCCAACTGGCGCTCGAATCAAGAGGTCAGCCACCGTGGCCTCATCAAGTTGTTGACCAATTCTCCTCATCAGCCCATTTCCACTTATTTCTCCACATTCTAATGCAATAGCAGCTTGTAGCAATCTGAGTAGGAAACTACAAGGTACACTGCTTTTCTCATCGGGCAGCAGCCAAATTATGGTCTCAACCACCGACCGATTCTTTATGGCGTCCCCACCTTGTATGGTACCTTTGTGAAACCCTGGCAACCTTCTCAGGGCATATGCTTTTAAGGCTTCTCCAATCACATCACTGGACAATTTGCTCTTTGTTTTAATCGTTGTTATGACCCGTTTATATGAATCAATTTGAAGTTCACAAATATCCTCTACCCACCAGTCCTTCGGAACAATCTGTTGTTTTCTCATCCCATTCCAGTGCGGATCGTTTCCATTCTCTGATGGAAGTTTTTTCCGGTTATAGGTGTAGGACCATTCCACTTTTGAAGTATCCACAGAAGCTTTGGAAGCTATAGAGTCTAGGCAGTGGCTGACTACCTTTAGTTCCTCAGACCATGGAAGAAGAGACTTTGTAGTTTGAAGAGCGATGATTGAATCTTTCCAACTCCGGAAGATGCTTGAATTGAGGAAGACTTCAATCTTGTAAATGAGGTTTCCTTTTTCAACAGTTTCATACATCTCCAGATACTCTGCCGCACAACGAGCTGCAATCACATTGTATGCATTGAGAGTCACCGTCATACCATAACAGAATTTTGCACATATTTCAAAGGCGGCAGGTCCACCGGGAATCTCATGGATGCAGATTTCATCGTTGTTTTCCTCATTTGCATCTGCAACCAACTTCTGCAAGCAGGCACTCCTGGACAAGAGGGGAAACTACGGAACATGCAATATGTTGTTATTAGATAGCATACATATAAAACTAAAGCGCACACAAATACATAGACTAGATTTGAGAAATGATGATTAATAATTTTCAATTTCCTCCCATATCATGCCTTTATTACTAGCCGGACATATCTAATTGGTTAAATAGGTTGAGCTGCTACCAGATACAATATGGATTACGTTACCTAGAAATGATCAGACCAGAGAAAGTTAGAAATCAAAGATTTTCTATTTGGCTTTACAATTATAAATTGGCTGATGTGGTTTGTATTTTTAATTTGTTCACATATGGCAAGCCTTTTTGAGTTTTTACCAGCACAAATTTGACCTTAAAATGTAGTAAGCCATTTAATCAATACATATTGAACTCTACACAAGTATGCATGGATTTCATACCTTATGTAGATAAAATTTCACCTCTCCCACATTAATGACTATGTCAGTTGCCAAGTCGGTTGCGACATACCTGGACACAAAAACAATCCTCCAGTTATTATATTATGTATGAACAAGCAGCACGAGGAAATCTTAATGTGATTGTTCAATAGAAAAACATTGCAAGTCAGAATGAAGTTAGACAATACTCCCAATTGATGAAACACAACAACAAAGTAGGGCTTCATGATATCACAAAGTTAACTAGAATTTAGAAGGAAAATGAACACAAAAACAAGGATAAGAATCCACCTTTTAATAGTACAAGAGTACATCCCAAAGTTTGAGGGCAGTCTCATAAAAAATATTAAAAATAATTTTGGAGTACCAAAAAAATTCGTTAAACTGGCAGAGAACCTTGTACCGGACAGTTCCCTTTTTCAGGATAAATGCTAATTAAATTTTTAGAAAGCTCAGAACTGCAGTATCATGGATGTCTACCAGGTGAGAGACAAGTATAGCAAGAAATAAGTGAACTAATTCCAATCACTGCAAGGGCTTCCAAGGTTTAAAATCCCCAAAAACCCTGCATTATGAACTCAAATTTGTGGGCACATACTTCACTTGACTTCCATACATTCTGTTAATGACAAAATAACCAATTTTTAACTCCAAGGAATAAGTAGTTTTATGTGACTCCATATCCATGGACAAATCGATCAAGATATGTGAGTTTGAATAGACATCAAAGTTGAAATTACAAACTCCAAAGGTTCTACTAAGACTGTCGTATAGAGTTATAAAACCAAACCAGCACCGTCGACCAAAGTGGATGGTTTGTCACACCAATTATTAGACTATCGACAGTCATTTGTTACAAACTCCAAAAGGTTCTAAGAGTGATGCTTTGTCACACGACCATTTTTTCTCTGGAAACCTTTTAGATAATGAAAATGGCCACATACAGTAAATATAAAACTGGGAAGAATTTCGCAAATTCTGAATGTAAATAGATATCATATTAATTATACTTCAGAGAAGTTTGATGAGAAGGATATTTGAATAGGAATCACTAAAAGAATGGACGTCACTTCAGAATAACAGCTCATCACCATTGACACTTCAATTCTCAGAACAAAAATCGGCCCTTCCATTCAAATGCTAAATCAATAAAGAATAACAGCTCACCACCATTGACACGTCAATTATCAGAACAAAAATCAGTCCTTCCATTCAAATGCTAAATCAATAAAATAAATTGATAATTCATAATAGTAGCAAAATAAAGCAGCAAATTTCATTCCTTCGTTGATCAATATATTTCTATAGAACAATTGTTTGCAAAGGCTACCAGTTTCAAATTGATAACTTGGAGGTGATACTAGGTCAAAAGTCAGAATCAAAGAGTGATAAGGAACATTTAATCAAAGAATAGAAGAAAAAAACAATGTCTGCTTCATAACAGTGGAGGGACCCAAAAGACATATTGTACAAAAGAGAACATATATAGACAAATAAATCCAACCGAAAGGAAGGCCCCATTATAAGCTTATTATGGAGAGTAGTGATTGACAACACAACAGCATTAACACATCCAAAATATAGTTTATGCAAAAAAAAGATAACAGTAACTAGGGTTTACAAACCAAAAAAAAAAAACTGACCTAACATTGTCTCCATCTGTCTGAAATGAGTCAGCCTTTGATCCAAGTTTCATAAACTTCATTTTGGATAGTAAAAGATCAGTTTCACCTCCAAGATTCCACTTCCCAAATTCAACGAACTCAGCAATTCCTCCACCACCACGACGGAAAATCAAAACTTCATACACCCGAGAATAAAGCTGCAAAAGAAATTCCCGGAAAAGAAAAGAAAAACCTCAGAAGTGGGAATTGAACTCTTTAATGTGATGGGTTTGAACGAATGGAAAATGATGGATCAAAGGTGAAAAAGTGGTTTATGTTCTAGTACGATGGAATCTTTCCCACAAATCAAGGCAAGTGAGAAAGAGAGAAAAGAGAGATAATGGGGAGGTGTTGTGAATTGTTAACAAATTGCTCTCTTGAATGGGAAGAGACTGAAAGAAGAGTTTGTTACCTAGCTTGGTAACAGAGCCCACGGACCCCGGGCACAAATGGTCAGTCTAGGAGACATAAACAACAGAGCCACACCCTCTCAAACACTATAATAATTCTCAAAACAAGAGACACCCCCACTTGCTCACCACTGACACATCAAACCTCCCCTTATTTGTTTATCTTAACCTCTCTATATTATGTGTATATATTATACACACCTCTAATTCTCTATGTATGAGTCTCAAATCCTATGATGCACAAGATTTCAAGACCCAAACCGTAGAATCCACAATTCTTTGCACATGTTCTTACTCATAAGCCTGCCATAGAAAACAAAACATCAACTTGGTATACGTTGAATAAAACACCAAATTGGTAGACAATAATCATCACAGTTGGAATATAATGGGAAGCAATTTACATGGATGAACAGTCCAACACTACAATCAACAAAATTGTTTTTTATAAAATCATGATACAACAGAGAGATGATCCACAAGCAGATGGGGTCAAACCCTTAACCTCAGCAGTAAAGACTCTGATCAACTGGGCTAAACCCGTTAATTAAGATTGTTTTATGGCACAAGTGAAACTGAAAGAAAATTGCCCAAAACAAAACCAAAACTCAGCACTTGACATTATAACCAACCCCAGAACAGACCAAACAAAGCACCAAAAACCAGCCACAAGAACACATGTTTGGCTTGAAAACACGACCCAAAAACATCCCCACATGTTAATTTCACACAATAGAATGCAAGATGGTAAACATAGCCCCAAAGCAGAAAATGGTCTAAAATCAGCAAATCCTCTCTTTTAACAACTATACCAGTCCCAAATTTGAATATACTTAGAGCATCTCCATTCCTTCAACAAATTCAAATTTGATGAAAAAAATGACTACAAATGTGCTCTAACTAATTCATCAAATCTGTATCAAATTAAGAGGCAATTTTTTTTACCAAATCCCAAAATTCTAACCATCATATTTTCACCTAAATTTTATGAAATTAAAAAAAGAGTAAAGATTGGAGATAATTGTCTTTCATAAAATAAAAAAAAAATGGTTAGAACATGTTTTTACATAAGTTTGGAATTTTTCAAAAAAAAAAAAAACTTTTTGCTGAAAAGGGAAAGTATGGATCGGAATGTTCCATATCATATCAATCTTTTAAACAATCTTTCACTCAAATTTGATGAAAAAAAAAAAAAAGAAAAAAGAAAAAGAGAGAGAGAGAGAGATAGTAAAGATTGAAGATCCAAACACAAAGAAAACAACTCAACACACACACACACACACAAAAAAAAGTCAAAACTCTGAAACATACCCATAGAAGATCAGAGGAAAACAAGAGACTCTCCAACCTGATCAGTGACAACTAAAACCCAGATAAGAACCAGTTAAAGCTCCATATGTGCTAATGCAAACCTCCACAATTCACGAGTGGGGCAAAAATAAAAGAAAAAGAAAAAGCAGAATACAGAGTACATGAACCCAACTACAGTACTAAGTATTATCTGAGAATCTGAGGGACAAAACCAAGAAACACTTACCCCACCACCAATGCCTATGGCAGAAACCACCCAACAACAACACACAAAAACTCTCCCACTAAAAAGATGAGTTGTCGCTGGCTCATCTTTTTCACAGGCATTCCAGCAAACACCATGTTTACACAAAAAGCCAAGCTCAGAATGTTCCCAACGTCTCATCATCTCATCTCTTTAGAATCTGCATGCACCACCACCACAACCCCCCAAACACCTTTCTCATCTCCTTTTCTTTTGTCGACCAAAGCTTTATTACCCAGAATATAAATTCCCATTATTCATGTATACTTGCTTATATTAATACATAGAAAAAACCAAGGGTAAATTACATTGACACCCTTGATGGATCAAAGCCTTCACGTTTTGAAAATTATATTTCTATCTCTATGATTAATAGTTTCATTTCACAAATCATTACTTATATAAAAGATAACAACTCTTAATAAAAAAATAAAAGAAATTACATTTAAAAAAAAAAAGGAAAGGAAAGGGACAAAAAAAAAAGTAAAGCAAAGCAAATGGGTTATTTGGGATGACCTAAATAAGTGCACTTTTTATCTTTTTACGAAAAGATATGCAAAAAAATAGAAAGGTGATGTGATGGAAAAAAGATAAAAAGATGGATTATTTTACAATTGCCAAACTTGGCCTAAAAAAAGAGAGAGTGCATGAGTTCAATGTTTTTAGTCCGTCTAAATAATTACAATGACAGAAGGTTAGTATAATTTCCTAAACGTCAGGCGGTCATATTTATTAAACCCAAACCTCAGGGGATATAAGTGTAATTTACCCAAAAAACAAAACAAAACAAAAAAACCTTTATTTTCAATTTTTTTGGGTTTTTTTAGAGAGATTAATCAATACATCTCATATTTTGAATTTGTAATTTATGTAGTCTCATATTTTTTTTTTGATCCATTTAGTCTTTTTGGATATGTAATGACTCATTTGCCTACTACATTTGAAAAAAAGTATACTAAAAAGTTTTTTAGTATTACATCATCCCCGCCACGTTAGAATATCGCATCTGGAAAAAAAAAATACACTAAAGAGTTTTTAATTTTTTTTACAGTGTCATCATATCCGTCATATTGAAGTGCCACATATCACGTTTTGAAAAAGTACACTAAAGAGTTTTTAATTTTCTTTAAAGTGATATATCATATCCGTCACGCTGTCACTTTGAAAAAAGTACACTAATGAGTTTTTTTTTTTTTTTAAAGTATCACATTATACCTGTCACGTTGTTACATTTGAGAAAAGTGTACTAAGGGATTTTTAATTTTTTTGAGTGTCACATCATACCCGTCACATTGTCACGTTTAACAAAAGTACATTAAGGATTTTTTTTTTTTTTGAAATGTAACATCATACCTGTCATGTTGTTACATTTGGAAAAAATACACTAAATAATTTTTATTTTTATTTTTTGAGTAAAAGTTTTGAAGTATCACATAATACCTACCATGTTGTAACATTTAGAAAAAAATACACTGAAGAGTATTTTATTTTTTTTGGAATGTCATATTAATACCTGTCACATTAGAGTATCACATCATACCTGTCACATTAATAAAATGATACAGTTGTCTATCAAAACGCTACCAAAATAATAAAAAAATAAGACCACACAAAAAGAAGCTCTCTACTTGTAAAACTTAACAGATTAATAAAAAAAAAAACTTGAAACTAATTGAAATACTTAAGTAAAGCAAAGCAAAGGGTTATTTGGGATGACCTAAATAAGTGCACTTTTTATCTTTTTACGAAAAGATATGCAAAAAAGAAGAAAGGTGATGTGATGGAAAAAAGATAAAAAGATGGATTATTTTGCAATTGCCAAACTTGGCATAAAAAAAGAGAGAGTGCATGAGTTCAATGTTTTCAGTCCGTCTAAATAATTACAATGACAAAGGGTTAGTATAATTTCCTAAACGTCAGGCGGTCATATTTATTAAACCCAAACCTCAGGGGTATAAGTGTAATTTACCCAAAAAACAAAACTAAACAAAAAACAAAAAACCTTTATTTTCAATTTTTTTGGGTTTTTTTAGAGAGATTAATCAATACGTCTCATATTTTGAATTTGTAATTTATATAGTCTCATATTTTTTTTTTTTGATCCATTTAGTCCTTTTGGATATATAATGACTCATTTACCTACTACATTTGAAAAAAAGTATACTAAAAAGTTTTTTAGTGTTACATCATACCCGCCACGTTAGAATATTACATCTGGAAAAAAAAATACACAAAAAAGTTTTTAATTTTTTTAAAGTGTCACATCATATCCGTCATATTGAAATGCCACGTATCACGTTTCGAAAAAGTACACTAAAGAGTTTTTAATTTTCTTTAAAGTGATATATCATATCCGTCACGCTGTCACTTTGAAAAAAGTACACTAATGAGTTTTTATTTTTTTTAAAGTGATATATCATATCCGTCACGCTGTCACTTTGAAAAAAAGTACACTAATGAGTTTTTATTTTTTTTAAAGTATCACATCATACCTGTCACGTTGTTACATTTGATAAAAGTATACTAAGGGATTTTTAATTTTTTTGAGTGTCACATCATACCCGTCATATTATCACGTTTAACAAAAGTACATTAAGGAATTTTTTTTTTTTGAAATGTCACATCATACCCGTCATGTTGTTACATTTGGAAAAAATACACTAAATAATTTTTATTTTTATTTTTTGAGTAAAAGTTTTGAAGTATCACATAATACCTACCATGTTGTAACATTTAGAAAAAAAATACACTAAAGAGTATTTTATTTTTTTTGGAATGTCATATTAATACCTGTCACATTAGAGTATCACACCATACCTGTCACATTAATAAAATGATATAGTTGTCTATCAAAACGCTACCAAAATAATAAAAAAATAAGACCACACAAAAAGAAGCTCTCTACTTGTAAAACTTAACAGATTAATAAAAAAAAAAACTTGAAACTAATTGAAATACTTATTTATGAGATAGAATTTATTGGTAAATATTGGTAGCGTTTGGTAGAACTTTCTAAATATGATTTGAGAATAGGAGTTATATTTTGAGTTTATGAATTTTGAAATTATGATTTGAGTGTGGAAAATTTGTTTGATGAATGAGTTTTGAAAAGAGTTTTGAATTGAGTGGAGAATTTTTAGGCTCTGTTTGGTTGTGAATTCAAATCAATTTTCAACACGTGAGCTCGCGCATGACGTTTGGATATGATGTTCAAAAGTTGATTCCGCGTGTTAATTCAAATTACAATTTGAAATTCCGTTTGGCATCTCGTAGTTCAGTTCTCCGCTTTCAACGTGTCTGTCTTCTTCCTCTTTTTCTCTTAATCTGGTAAATAAATTCTTCATCTATTATGTGCAAATGATTTCAGACGAGTCGATATCAGTTCTCAAATCTTTTGTGAGAAGTGTAGCCGACTATTTTTTTTTTGTTTCAGATGTTTTCCGATTTTCCCGAACTGTTTCAACCTTTTCCCCACTAATCTGGTAAATCAATCTTCATCTGTTATATATAAATGATTTCAGAGAAGTTAAAATTAGTTCCCAAATGATTTCTGAGAATTTGTAGACGAGTTTTTTTCATTTCAGATTTGTTGGTATTTTAAACTCCGAACTGTTCGAACCTTTGCACAAAGAAAACCTGAGACGCAGTAGCTGGGACACCCGGCCGGTCGTCCCCCGGGTCATCCGGCCGGTCATCCCCCAGGTCATCCCACCGGTCATCCCTTCCTGCCAATTTCTCTACTTTGAACTGTTTGATATTATGCACGAAGAGAACTGTTTGAACCTTTATTTTAAAATGGAAAAATTATTATGAAAAAACAATTATTCAAAAAAAATACTAAAAAAAATTAATTGACAAAAAAAATCAATTTTTAATTTCAATATTTTAAAAAAAGTTTGGTTGTTATTGTTGATAAAAAAATATGGATATCGATATATGAGTTGTGTATTTGATGATAAATTATTGGTTGAATTAAGTTTTGAAAACTATTTTCAAAACACATCACCAAACAAATTTTCACATTTCACATGTCACATCAAACTTTTAAAACTTAATTCAAAATACATCTTCAAAACACAATTCAACACTCTATTTAAAAATCATAACCAAACAAATTTTCTACACTCAAATCATAATTCTACAACCTACAAACTCAAAATACAACTCATACTCTCAAATCACATTTACAAAATACAACCAAACGCAGGCTTAATGTTGCATATAATATTTGATACAAAAACTTACAACTCATAACCAAACACACAACTCAAAATTTTATTAAAAATCATAAAAAAAATTTAAAAATTTAGAAAATATTTTTTTGTTGAATATATAAAAAATAACATGTGTCAATTGTAAAAAAAAAAATTACACTGTTCTAATCAATCAGTGGGACGTTCGATAGGACGTCCGATGAGACGACCAGTTAATTTAAATTTTTTTATATTCAACCAAATTTTTAAAAGTAAGCGTAAAATTAATTTTTAAAAATTACAAACAAACCTTATATACAAACTAAAAGGTAAAACTAAAGTTTCAAAACCTTTTCAAACACCTCTTTTTTAAATACACTAAAGAGCTCTAACAAGAATCGGAGTGGCTTCTTAGCTGTCCTGTGGCCAATGAAGCCCCCCAACCCACACCTCTCTCTCTCCCTCTCTCTCTCTCTCTCTCCCTACAGTATGAAGGCACGCCACTCTGACATATCTCCCAACTTTGTTGCCCCCTCTATCAAATACAAACTCACTCCATTTCATTTGTGAATCCTCAAATAATACAATTGGGTGTAATTCAATAGTCTAGTAATCATATCTTTGGGTTTAGTTAGCTTTGGTTTGGTATTTATTTTGAGACTAAATAATTATAAAAAGGAAAAAATTGATCACAAAAGTTAATAAAATAAAATATTATTTTTTATTTATAATCATTATATTTTGTTTTCTCAAAAAATCAAAAAATATCTC